ACCATTACTTGTGACCTGAGTCAACCTCTGTTCATTGTCAATTCGGATGGAAAGGTTGCATTTGGCAAAAATAATGCATGATACATTTTGAAGATAATTATTTTCTGATGCGCCTGGTTTAATAACGTTCAGATTATATATTTTATGTTTTAAAGAAGCATTCATTTAATATAACTTTCTAATAAATGCCGTCTTTATCTGTATTAAAATACTAGCCTTCTTTATAACATCGTTTGAGATTTCTACAGAAATTCAGTGTTCTCATTCTTGCTTGGAATGAAAATAATGATACATATAAAGTGTCAATGCATATTATGTAAGCTTTTTTGCCAGGCACATTTACCCTGAAATTAAATGTATATTAACCGCTAATTTAATTTGAATTAATATAACTAAAAGTAAATTTATTAATGATAATTTTTACCTACTTCTTGATGTAAGCCTGTTACAACCCCAATTATTTTTCAGTTATGTTTAGTACGAATGAGAAAACGTGAGCGAATTTATGTAGCACTAGTAGTATCTTTATACTTTCTTGCTGATAGAAAAGCACAAGTACAAATAATGTAATGCAAGTAGATATTTTGTTCAAAACTTCCCGATGCTCAAAATTGAAAAGAAAACTAAAGCTCTGTGAAGTGTCCTTCATTTGCATATAACGAACAATGCATTACAAGAATGATAGAAGCAATCAATAGACAACAAAATATTAACACTTGAACAATACGGACAATCGAATAATTTCCAGAACCAACTACTAAAGGGTTGAGAGTTAAGAAGAAGAAGATTATAAATTTTTAGAACATTCTCAATATGAACACTTGCACGAAAGCTTTTTTATGACAGCGCAGGAATCGATGTAATAAACAACATGAAATTATATATGAGAGAGCGGTTAACGCTAATGTTCTGATCTGCGAAACATAACGATACCTGTTCAAACAACAATTCAACACAATATGTAGTTTACAGTCAAGTTTAAATTGAGATAGACGACTGAGAGATTAGGTTAAATTTAAGCAGACTCAAAATAGCTAATCGAATCAATAATTGATTTCTGCGCTTATTGTCAACAAATGCTATGCGAGAAACACTGGTCTATCCTGACAAACCCAAGAGATATTTGAAAAAAATAAAGCTTATTCCCTAAGAGAAGTTTGGACAACTCCACAACAATGAAGCCCTTTCCATGCATACATACGAGCAAAGATGCCACCCATTTCCTCCTTTTCCAACCCAAGACCCTGAGTCCACACCTTCAATCCTGCTGCCTAATTTAAACCACCCGGTAACCAGCATCAACGTGTGCTTTGCATCGAGCCATTGTGCGAAGCCCAAGGATAGATTTCCAGCAACCCCCCACACACAAAGACACTTGCGACAAAAATTAGCAGCACGTACGGCACAGAACGAAACGCGCAAAAACTTAAGGACAGAAACGCTTATCTGAAAGAAGAAGATACACGCGTGACTCGCGTCACGGAGGCCACGACCAGTGCCAAGAGTTGCACCCGAGCATCGTTAATCAACGAGGATGGCGACTCGAGAAGAAGAGGCAGGTTGCTCGCAAGGTCCTCACCGCCGATAACATTGCGAAATAAATATCGTCTCTCACAAACGGCGCTCTTCGGGAAACCGCCACCATCAACGTATAATTATCCACAACTATACCCGCGCGCCCCTCGTGCTTAATCGGTAGGCCCAACATAAGAGACAGTAAGCGGGGCGTCCTGCGAGAAAGACCCAGACACTGAAATCAGAACGATCCGCATGAGAGCTTCTCCTCAAAAATCAAATTATACACTAGCATAGCACGCTAGAACTAAACACAATCTTTGAGAAATAAATTATTTTCGTGTCCAAGCGCCGAACAGAATATCCCGCTGACGCCTTCCATTATTCATAATTCAATCAAAGTGTCAATAATTAATATTAAACCAAATACCTTATCTCAGAATGATTCAGACCGTTCTCCGTACTAGAAATAACAATATGCCACAATTCTACATACTCCTCTTTGGGGTTGCAAGAAAGACATACACTAATAGAATCCGAACCGAAACTAGAACGGAAACTTTACTGACCGATACCTGCTGAGGTGAGAGGTTCCGTTTCCATCGTCTAACCATCTTAATCAGAAAAAGTATGCGGGACGACCAACAGCGCAGTGCACAACGTGAATAATAGAAACTCTTCCCAAATAAATAATCAATTGCAGGAATTGAAGAGAAATACCAGAAAATACGGAAGGAAAGAAATCGCCCTAACAACACAGGACGACTCTCCAACACTGCTGAGTCCATCATTATTCATAACCCGAAATGCCAACTTTCTTACGCAACATATTTCCAAGATCTCATCCTTACATAAACCTACCCACTAAGGACGACCGATCACCAGCTCCCAACACATATTCACTATGCTCATAAAAACACAAACTGACACCTACAATACTCAACACATTATCAACATCGTAGGAAAGTCATGCGAAACCAAATATCTCAGACAATACAAATCTTTAACAGTCAAGCTACATAACCAACTTTAGAGACTTGCAGATGACAAAATTGTGTATGACGTCCATAACTCAATCAATACCAAACATGTTCATTGGACTATTAAGAATTAACACTAGAGTTTAAGAGTTTCTCATAATTTCAAAATAATATTAGAGCTGCAACAGTAAGGTGCTGTTAGTGCAACGAAATTTTTGAACTAGCGACATTACTGAAACAGACGAAATGACAAAAAAGTTGCATAATGGAAAATTAGGAAAACACAGAAATTAATAAATACGTGCTACAGCGCTGCTTAATGAAACAAGATTATAAATGGATTGAGAAATATAAAGGCTTCAGATCAATCACAAGATTAGCAACAAGATCTCAATACACCAGGCCAAGAAAAGCACATGTCAAAGTCTTCCCATTCAATTCAAAGTGGTACTCTCTCTTTTTTCTTCCACTGCTAATGAATTGTCAAGCTATTATGACTATAGCACTTCAAGATGCAACACGAGTATACCATTATCTACTCCATTCGGCGGTTCTATCTAGAGCGGTTACCGTAGACAAAAACACTCGAATGGCTAGAATAAGAGACCAAGAATGCGCCAAAATGACACGTGAAACGATACTAATCCCACCACACGACACCGCGCCCCCACCCCCCCCGCCACCCCCCCACTCCTCCGCGCAGCTCAGGTCGCTCCATTCCGCCTTTTGTGTCAAAAACATTTCGTCCTCCCTAGGCCTCCTCCTCCCGCAACCTACACCTCATCGTCACTTCTGCTACAATGATATATACTGGACGGAGAAATAAATAAATCGGCAGAAAAAGGCGCAAATGTTTCACGAAATCTGTGCATAATACATACAGAAGACTTTAGTTAGTCGCCCACAATCTTAAAAGACCATTTTCAAATGCCCGAATCGTATAATAAACGCTCAAGGTACGCCTTTAGCAAATAGAAATCCCACAGGATGAGTATAGAAGCGAAAATAGAACCCGACACTATGATTGAACGAGACACAGGACCAATAACACCGAACTAGTCTAAAAACTAAACGAAGTTAATCACGATAACTAGTTCCACAATTCTGACACAGAGTTCCACCAAATTACTCTGTAAACACCAAAGACCAAGTAAAGTAAACACCTATAAGAAACAAAACATAGGAGCAACTATAGAACGAAAACTTCTTCCTGCCATTATGACCCACACTGAACGGCCAAAGTTGATTATTGTTATGTGCAAATCACTAAGAACAATCTTCCCAAAATAAAACAAACAAAAAGAATA